CCAAAAGGCGAAAGCCGCCCGGCCTGGCTCGACCAACCCACGGCCGGCGGCGCCTCCCTTCGGTCCGCCCCCGATCCCCGCCTCCTGCCCCGGCGGACGGGAGGAGAAAAGGAAAAACAAGAGGAAGCGGCGGGGAGTTTCCTCGCTGAGGACTAGCGCCTTGCTTGGGCCGGAGAGGGCGAGTCCACGCTACGCAGCGTTTCTTCCGGACGTGCGTGGGTGGGTGCGTGGGTAGGTGGGTGGCTCCTTTGCTTCCTCGCCCCGATCCCGCGCCGGGGGTGAGGGTGGCGGCGGGAGAGGAAGTGGTCCCGCGGAGGAAAACCCTTTTGCGACCGTAAAGACCTGCGCTCCGGATCAAGCCCTTTTCCCCTCGATTTCAGGAGGCTCTTTTGCTTTCCTGGTGTAAAACAAACAAACAAGGGATCCGGCTTGGCCGCTTCGGTCCGCGCGCGTGTCCCGGGCGCTCCGGGTTTGTGGGCGGGCAGGCGCGGATTGCGGTCCGGCTCGCGGGTAAACCTGCTCAGGATCGGGCAGCCAGGATTGGATCCTTGCCACGGCGGGGCACCGAGCCGACTCCCGAGCAACGGGGGCTGATTCACTTGGTCGCCTCCGACTCAATCTCAAGTCAAGAACAGGAGGATTGGGGCCGCGGCGCGTCTCTGCGCTCTTAAGTTCGCTAAACTTTTGGAGGGCTTTCCTTGGTTTGGACCGAGATGTTGAAAGGGGATCCAATTTTTATTTTTTTTATTTTTTTGGTTCTCCAAAGTTCTTCCTTTTCATTTTACCGGCTCCCTCGCCAGCCAGTCGCTCAACAGGTGGAGTAGAGATAGGTGACGCTCAAGACCTTTCCGTTTGGATTTCTGTTGGCAGCGTGGGAAACCTTGAAAGCTTACCTTGAAAAGCCTAGACGGTTTTAGCTTCGAGAACCCGAAAAACTGCAGAAACTTTAAATAAATAAATAAATAAATAAATTTAAAAAACTTTTTTTATTTTCTATAACTATAACATAAACAAAAAAAACCATATACAGTTTGAATACAATTTAACTGTATTCCCAACCAAAAATAATAAATTTGAAGAGGAAGATTCCCCAAACACGAGGTTCAACGTCCTAGTGCAATTGAGTAAGTGAAGCAACAGGATTTTGGCCCGTGAGAATTAATGGGCAGAAAAGCAGGCAGGGAAGAGAGATGGAGTGGAAGGGCAGGAAAATTCAGTAAAAGCCAGACATGGAAACTTTCCTCTTTTTTTGTACTAAGCTCTGCAGACAGTGTAGCTGAAGTCCCAAAAAAAGGAACTTTCCCAGGCTGGGAAGTGGGAACACCCCGGCTATTCCTCAGGGTTGCAAAGAAGCCATGTTTTCAGATAAGGGTGGGGGAGTTGCTTTTTTTTTGCCTACAGAATATCTGAGCCACTCCCATGGCCTTGAGCCATGCTCGCTGGGGATACTGTATTTGGAAAGCTGTGTTCCAAAAAAGGTAACTTTTCCAATCTCAGTTGCTCTGCCTTTTTTTCTCCCCCCCCAAAAAAATATGTCTTCCTGGTTTGCTCCCCTCCCTCCAGCTCATGATTTAAGTACAGGACCTGTTACATACACGGAGGGCTCCCTCGGTGCCAGAAGTACCTGAGACATTATAAGAAAGCAATTTTAAAAAGCAATTTAAAAAACCCAACATAAAACTGCAGGCTACCATCTGGACTTTGCAAAAAGCCCCAGGGAAGTATTCTGGGAATTAAGTACTGGGCCCATAAGGAAGACACACCACAAGATTTTTCTAAGGGAGTAAGGACCACCTGCATTAAGGGGTAGGTTGGAAAAGGGCTTTTTTTTCTGAGCGTGCAACCACAGGGCAGTCAAGCGGCCCAAGATTCGGGCCCAATATTGTAGCAGAACTGGGGCTTGCCGGGTCAGACCCCTAGACCTTACAATGAGCAGGGACCAGGATTTTGTGCACCAACCCTCCCCCCAATGGGATTCCTTGTTTCTTCTGAACTTTGTTCTAACTGTTCAAGTCTAGACAAGTGAACGCAGCCCTCAAAGCATTTATAATTGATAATCACACTTCTTGACCTGTGAGATCCATCACAGCTAATAATCCCTAGGTGAGGGTATTTGAGGGTCATACGGTTGACCTTGACACAATATGAGAGGGTTGTCTTTCTGTAGCGGTGCATTATTATGAACTAGAACTGTTATGATGCACAATGTTGGGGGTGAGTGGGTC